TGTGTAGGATGGTTTAGTGTTGGTCTGGCTGTATTTCATGGACACGAGACACACAAAAAGCTTCCACACTGTTCTGCCATCTTGGCTCCTCCCTGTTTCCACATATTTTAAATTTCTTCTCTAATTGCCTGGTTGACCCATTCATTCTTTAGCAGGATGTTTTCTAATCTTCATGCTTTTCAAGGTTTTCCAGACTTTTTCCTGTGGTTGATTTCAAGTTTCATAGCATCATGATCTGAAAGTGTGCATGGTATGATCTCAATTCTTTTATATTTATTGAGGGATGTTTTCTAGCCCAGTATGTGATCTATCTTGGAGAATGTTCCATGTGCACTCAAGAAGAAAGTATATTCTGCTTCTTTGGGATGCAGAGTTCCAAATATATCTTACAAGTCCATCTGGTCCAATGTATCATTCAGGGCCATTGTTTCCTTATTGAATTTCTGTCTAGATGATCTTTCCATTGCATCAATAAGCTTTTTTATGTTTGTGATTAATTGTTATATATATTTGGGTGCTCCCAAATTTGATGCATAGACATTTATAATTGTTAGCTCTTCCTGATGGATAGACCCTGTAATTATTGTATAATGCCCTTCTTCATCTCTTGTTACAACCTTTAATTTAAAGTCTAGTTTGTCTGATATAAGTATGGCTACTCCAGCTTTCTTTTGACTTCCAGTAGCATGATAGATAGTTCTCCATCCCCTCACTTCCAAGCTGAAAGTGTCCTCAGGTCTAAAATGAGTCTCTTGTAGACAGCAAATAGATGAGTTTTGTTTTTTTTATCCATTCTGATACGTTTTGTCTTTTTATTGGAGCATTTAGTCATTTTATTCAGTGTTATTGTTGAAAGATAGGGGATTAGAGTCATTGTGTTATCTGTAGGTTTCATGCTTGTAGTGATGTCTCTGGTACTTTGTGGTCCTTGCAACATGTCACTCACAGAGTCCCCTTGAGGATCTCTTGTGGGGCTGGTTTAGTGGTGAAGAATTCCTTCAGTTTTTGTTTGGGAACACATTTTTCTCTCCTTCTTTCCTGAATAATAGTCTAGCTGGATAAAGGATTCTTGGCTGCATATTTTTCCTGTTCATCTCATTGAAGATTTCCTGCCATTCCTTTCTGGCCTGCCAAGTTTCAGTAGATAGGTCTGCTACTACCTTTATGTGTCTATCTTTGTATGTGAAGGTCCATTTATCCCTAGCCACTTTCAGAATTCCCTCTTTATTTATTTATTTTTTTAATTTTTTTTCAACGTTTATTTATTTTTGGGACAGAGAGAGACAGAGCATGAACAGGAGAGGGGCAGAGAGAGAGGGAGACACAGAATCGGAAACAGGCTCCAGGCTCTGAGCCATCAGCCCAGAGCCCAACGTGGGGCTCGAACTCACGGACCGCGAGATCGTGACCTGGCTGAAGTCGGACGCCCAACCGACTGCGCCACCCAGGCACCCCTCCCTCTTTATTTTTGTATTTTGCCAGTTTCACTATGATATGTTGTGCAGAAGATTGATTCAAGTTATGTCTGAGGGGAGTTCTCTGTGCCTGTTGGATTTCAATGCCTATTTCCTTCCCCAGATTGGGGAAGTTCTCAGCTATGATTTGTTCAAGTACACCTTTAGCCCTTTTCTCTCTCCTTTTTGTGGAATTTCTGTGATATGGATATTGTCCTATATGACTGAATCACTTAGTTCTCTATGTCTCCCTTGTGATCCTGGATTTTTTTATCCTATTTTTCTCAGCTTCCTCTTTTTCCATAATTTTATCTTCTAATTCTCCTATTCTCCCCTCTGCTTCTTCATTCTGTGCTGTGCCCACCTCCATTCTATTTTGCACCTCATTTATAGCATTTTTAAATTCATCATGACTATTTTTTAGTGTCTCAATCTCTGTAGCAATAGATTCTCTGCTGTCTTCTATGCCTTTTTTTCAAGTCCACCAATTAATTTTATGACTATTATTCTAAATTCTTGTTCAGTTATGTTGCTTAAATCTGTTTTTATCAATTCTTCAACGGTCAGTGCTTTCTGGAATTTCTTCTGAGGAGCATTCTTCTGTTTCATCATTTTGGCTAGTTTTCTATCCCTTATGTGTTTTAAAAGCTTGTTATGTGCTCTGCACCTGTGAGCACTGCTGTATTAAAGTGGGATCATACACTGTCCAGGGCCTGGCCCTTCAGGAGGTGTTTTTTGGATAGAGGTACTTGCTCTCTGTTTTTGCGATTTTGATTATTTTATTTCCCTACTTGTATTGATGTTTTTGACCCTCCACCAGGTGTGCTTTCATTTGCTCCTGGAGGTAGCCTTGGAAAGCAAGACAAACAGACAAATAGGAAAGAAAAACCCACAAACACGAAAACAAATATAGCAAACAAACAAAAACAAACAACAAAATAGCAAAAACAATCCAAGAGCAAAAAACATAAACACCAGCTACAAGTAAAGAACAGGGTGGAGGTGGTGCTGATGGAAGAGTACATACAAAGAGAGAAATGACAGGGGTGGGGACAAAGAAGAAATAAACATTGACTAGGCAGAAAGATTAAATGGTTTAATCCAGAGAGAGAGAAAGGAAAATAAGGAATAAAACAGGGGGGGGGAAAGAAGATAAAGTTGCCCAGACAGAGAAACTATACAGCTTGATTATTTCTGAAAGACAGAAAGGAATGTAAAGAAGGAGGTGTAGAACATGTATCAAGAGAATGGATTAAATATGTGTGTTTAAACAAACCAATAACCAGAGTAACCAGCCTAGAGGAGAGAAGAGATAAGAGGGAGAAATGGGGGGGGGGGAGAATATATGTATATGTAAAGAATTATCCTAGAATTAATCCAGGCAATGCAGTAGCATTGGTTTGGAGGAGAGGTCTGAATGGTTCCAGTGTCTATCCTGCTCCAGTAGATATAGTTACCCAGTGGGAATGGGCGTGGTTTGGTTTAGGCTGGTCCCATCTCCACTGTGGGCCCCACAGACTGATTCCTGAGGCCCCGCCTTGGTTGTGGTGGGGAGAAAACAGCGACCCTGTGTCCCAAATCACTTCTTTTTTAAAAAAAATTTTAAAATGTTTTTATTTATTTTTGCGACAGAGAAAGACAGAGCATGAGCAGGGGAGGGGCAGAGAGAGAGAGGGAGACACAGAATCGGAAGCAGGCTCCAGGCTCTGAGCTGTCAGCACGGAGCCCGATGCGGGGCTCGAACCCACAGACCGTGAGATCATGACCTGAGCCGAAGTCGGACGCCCAACCGACTGAGCCACCCAGGAGCCTCCCAAATCACTTCTTTGGAGCTGTCCTCACTGTGCTGCTGGTGCAGACGAGGCTGTCTCACTCTGTCGACTCCTTTGCCCCAGGGGCTTGGCTGGGATTTATTTATTTTTTAATTTTTTTTCAACGTTTTTTTAAATTTATTTTTGGGACAGAGAGAGACAGAGCATGAACGGGGGAGGGGTAGAGAGAGAGGGAGACACAGAATCGGAAACAGGCTCCAGGCTCTGAGCCATCAGCCCAGAGCCCGACGCGGGGCTCGAACTCACGGACCCTGAGATCGTGACCTGGCTGAAGTCGGACGCTTAACCGACTGCGCCACCCAGGCGCCCCTTGGCTGGGATTTAAACTCCCACTCTGTGAGTCCCAGTACTGGGGAATCACTTCCCAATATGAGGTCCCAGCTGGTATTGTCCTGTGCCACAGCCCTTCAGGGGAGAGACTGGTTTCTTCTGCTGAAGTCTGTGCTCCTGATCTACCACTGAGCCCAGGGGTGGCTCCCTTCCTCCCCAGGTGTGTGAACAGGACAGCTGGCCCCAGTCAGAAGATGGGATCTGCAGTTAGAGATCCTCTAACTTGCAGTTAGAGATCGTATCCCCCTCTGATACTGGCCTGAGGTTTTTTCTCTTCTTCAGATACAGTCCTAGACTTCCCCAGCCGCTCTTTGTCTTCCCTTGGTCTCTCAGCAGAAGGGGGTCCCTCCCCTCCATGCCTACACGACCTGTTTTATCTCCCCTAGTTCACAATCACCCGCCTATGGTCTCTCAAGTTGTCCCAGTTTCTCCCTGGTAGACTCAGTCTCTTTTCCTCCAAGATTCTTGGGGTAAAAGTCCTTTAGTTCCAGCCCTTCTTTGTTTGGGAGACTCAGGAAGTACTGATCCCCCTCCTTCTCTGCCATGTTGGCCATCCTCTCTCTTTCACTCATTTTTAATTTAGTTGTGTGTATGGTGTAAGAAAGTAGTCTAGTTTCATTCTTGTGCATGTTGCCATCCAGTTTTCACAACACCATTTGTTGAAGAGACTGTTTCCATTGGATATTCTTTCCTGCTTTGTTGAAGATTAGTTGTCTGTATAGTTATGGGTCCATTTTTGTGTTTTCTACTCTGTTCCATTGACCTATGTGTCTGTTTTATGCCAGTACCACACTGTCTTGATGACTACTGCTTTGTGATATAGCTTGAAGTCCAGAATCATGATGACTCCAGCTTTTTCTTTTTTAGGATTTCTTTGGCTATTCAGGGTCTTTTCTGGTTCCATACAAATTTTAGGATTGTTTCTTATAGCTTGGTGAAAAATGCTAGTGGTATTTTGATAGGGATTACATTAAATGGGTAGGTTGCTTTGGGCAGAATACAGATTTTAACAATGTTTGTTCTTCCAATCCATGAGCATGGAATATTTTTCCATTTTTGTCCTCTTTAATTTCTTTCATAAGTGTTCTATAGTTTTCAGAGTACAGACATGTTATCCCTTTGGTTAGGTTTATTCTTAGGTACCTTATTGTCGATGGGATTGATTCCTTTATTTCTTTTTCTGCTGCTTCATCATTGGCGTCTAAAAATGCAACAGATTTCTCTATGTTGATTTTATATACTGCAACTGCTGAATTCATGTATTAGTTTTAGCAACTTTTTTTGGTGAGTCTCTTGGGTTTTCTATATAGAGTATCATGTCATGTGCAAAGTGAAAGTTTTACTTTTTCCTTGCCAATTTGTATGTCTTTTATTTCTTTTTCTGGTCTGATTGCTGAGGCTAAGACTTCCAGTACTATGTTAAATGGAAATAGGGAGAGTGGACATCTCTGTATTTTCCTGACCATAGAGGAAAAACTCTCAGTTTTTCCCCATTGAAGATGGTATTAGCCATGCATCTCTTGTATATGGCCTTTATGATATTGAGGTGTGCTCCATCCATACCTATTTTGTTAAGGGTTTTTATCAAGAAAGGATGCTGTATTTTGTCAAATGCTTTTCCTGCACGTTGAGAGGATCATATGGTTCTTTCTTTTATTAATGTGTTGTATCATGTTGATTGATTTGTGAATATTGAACCCACCCTGTAGCCTAGGAATAAGTCAAATTTGATTGTGGTGAATAATTCTTTTAATGATTTGATTTGATAGTATCTTGTTGAGAATTTTTGCATCCATGTTCATCATGGATATTGGCCTGTGGTTCTCTTTTTTAGTGGGGTCTTTGTCTAGTTTTGGAATCAAAGTAATGCTGCTCTCATAGAATGAGTTTGGAAGTTTTATTCCCTTTTCTATTTTTGGGAACAGTTTGAGAAGAATGGGTATTAACTCTTCTTTAACTGTCTAGTAGAATTCCCCTGGGAAGCCATCTGTTCCTGGACTTTTGCTTTTGGGAGATTTTTAATAGCTGACTCAATTTCTTTGCTGTTTATGTGTGTATTCAAATTTTATATTGTTTCCTGTTTCAGTTTTGTATGTTTGTATGGTTCTAATTTGTCAATTTCCTCCAGATTGCCCAGTTTGTTGGTATATAGTTTTTCATAAAAGAGTCTTAAAATTGTATTTCTGTGGTGTTGGTGGTGATCTCTTCTTTTTAATTCATGAGGATTTTATTTATTTGGGCCACTCTGTTTTTTTGATAAGTCTGATTATGATTTCATCAATTTTATTAATTCTTTCAAAGAACCAACTCCCAGTTTCCTAAATGAGAGCGTATTTAAAAGTTTCCCTCCTTGAGGAATTGCAATTGGCACTTAAAGTCCTGGTTGGAGGTTCCCTAACTATAGGCACTCATGTCACTAATTCCATGGAGTCAAGCCAGAGATCTCCAGGGAGAACCAGGAATAACTGTGGACGTAAGTGAATGTAAAACTGGCGTTTGGAGAATTCTGAAGCTGTGAGATAATCTGGAGCTGCTCATGTTGGCAAGGAAGAACAAAATGCAGCAAAAGTGCAGGGTCAAGATGACTAGATTGTATATTTTTGAAGTAGATGCTTTGTCAAATCACTATCTTAAGCCTTCTTGAAAACTCTCTTGAGAGTAGTTGGTGTGAAAGGATTAAAGTAAAATTCCAGGGTAGGAAATGAGGGGGTCACAGAGGTCAATTGGACAGTGTCCATCAATGTCCAGGAACTATTACCGCAGAGTTCTTATAGAGTGGGTATGTCATTCAACATTTATCAACATGCAGGGATGATAGATGATTTATAGGTACATAGTTAATAGATGATAATATATAGATTAATATAAGATATAGATGATATAGACATAGACATAGACATAGATATAGATATATAGATATAGATATATAGATAAATATTTCACACATTGGACTTTGGACATCTCAATACAGAAAATACTTATAATACTCAACAGATTGCCCACATTGACCCACATGAATGACTCTTTTTTTCAACCCCAGAAAACAATGGAAAGAAGAGGGAAAACTAATTATCAAAATGAGAGAATCAGGAGAAATAGTGAAAAGGATGACTCTTGCCCTCTTCCCCCTGGTGGGTCTCAAGCCCTGTCAGAACTAAGCAAGGCATAGTTGATCAGGTAGGTTTTGAATTAGATGGGATATTTAAGTTGTGACTTGGATAAGACTGGATCATAGCCTACTGAAAGTCAATCTTGATTAGCTAAGTGAGATGAGACTTACACCTGAAGCTGATCCTATACCTGAAGCTCTGCAATCGTTCTGATATCCACTAAGAAATGGGCAAGAAGATTCCAGATGTGAAGTGGTCCTAGTTTAAAATAAAGCTGTTTTGTTTGTATGCCATCACATTTCACATAATCACTATGTAGGTTAGATAAATGGTAATATAAAAGATTTCACATGACATAACAGATATAATTGCAAATTGTACAGGCAATAGTCCAAAGGGGACAGAGGCTGAAGTGAATGTGGATCAAATTTTGGAAGGTGAGAAAAGTAACGATGAACATTATATGAGTCCTCATAGAATAAAGTTTCAATAAGAAATAGAAAGCTGGCAAAGTAAGTTCCAATAGGACAATAACTTGAATGAGAATGTGGAGATGGGAATTCTTCAGTTATCTATGGGAACCAGAGAGATCAGTGGGTAGTAGACAATAAGTAGAAAAGGAAGCTGAAACAGAAGAGTGTGATATGGCTGTAGGGAGTTTCTTTCAAAGCCAGGTTGGTGTTCCTGGAACGTTTGGCAGAAGGCCTATTTTTTCTAGTTGCCTCTAACTCCAACTCGTTATATTTTACAACATCTCCCATCAATCCCCTTTCTCCTAGCCCTCTGACCCAATGTCTCCTATCTGTACATCAGTCTTCAACTGAAGTCCCTAAGAGTTTTGTATGGCAGGTAAAACACTTTTTTTTGTTGTTATTGTGAAAATTAAAAAAAAAAAACAGTCAAATAAAACTGAGGACTCCTGCCTGACTCGGTTGAGTATCTGACTCTTTATCTCAGATCTTGATCTCTTGGTCTTGAATTCAAGCTCCACATTGGGCTCCATACTGGGCATAGAGCCTACTTTAGTTAAAAAAAAAAAAAGGCTCAGGGTGCCTGGGTGGCTTAGATGGTTGAGCGTCTGACTCTTGGTGTTGGCCCAGGTCATGATCTCATGGTTTATGGGTTTGCACCCCGCATCAGTCTCTGCACTGACAGTGTGGAGCCTGCTTGGGATTTCTCTCTCCCTCTCCCTGCCTGTCCCCAGCTTTCTCTCTCAATAAATAAATAAATAAATAAA